GCTTCACCCAAATTGAGTATTACAACACTCAGCTGCTCCATCCAGGAATCGAACTCCCCACCCTGAGGTTGCAAGCCCAGCAGTGCCCATCCTTTGCCAACTTGGATGTGCCCCGGGGGGCATTAATACTTGTATGTTTGATTTTATCGGCATCATGACAAGGAATAATATGTTTAAAGCTTTCATGCTACTTATGATTTCGATTATTACTTTGTGAGATTTATACTGAAGTTGGATTTAAATTGTAAGATATTCATATTTTATGCATAAGTGTCGTTAAACATTCTTGTACTCATTTAATATTTGAACAAGTGGAGAATTGTTAGATATTGTTCAAATTAACAACGAGGAGTGATTTGGAAGTGATGGAAGAGATTAACCATGAGAAAAACAAGCAAAAATAAAATAAGAAATGTAGGCGGAAAAATGGCTTGGGCTACCGCCCGAACTTGTGCTGCAAACATATTGGCCATTTTCTTGAACTGGGCGAGCGCACGGTTTTGTATTGGGTGGCCACCCAATTAAAAAATTTGTCCGTCGAGATTTTGAATTATGGTGTCGTTTTGAAGAGTTTTACAATCTTTTAACTTGGTTTTTGTATCTTTTGTGTATGGTGATTATAATTCTATAAATATATATGAGTGATTTTCATGATTGAAAACATATCACAAACATCAAATTGATTACATTATATTCAAAATCTAAGATCAATCCAAGTTTTTATAATCTTTTTTTTTTTTTTAATTTCCCTTTTCAAGTTTTGTTTTCTTGATTCAAATTTGGATTGATGTTTGTTTACTCCTACAAATTATTTGCCATAAAGCCTTCAAGCACTTACCCCGATGGCGGCAAATATCGTTTGAACACAGCAATTCATAATCGTGTTCAAACCTTCAATTTTGAAAATTTTTGTTGTTGGTTTTATTTTCGTTCTTCATCAACTATTCTCAACGTTATTTGGAAACGCCAATATTAAAATCTCACTGTTTATCTAAACCTGAACAAAGAGAGAAGAGTCGCCTTAAAAATCCATATACTATCTATTCAATATGATCCTCGTGAACCTCAATCCATTGCTCCATTTCGTCATCAAAATCATCATTTTCTACATCATCATAATTACTATTAGAGTCCGTTTGATTGCATGGGTGGAAAGAAAATGTTTTACAGGGAATTGATTTTCTTAGAAAATATTTTATTAGGAATTGTAATTAATTGTGTTTCATTTGTATAATTTTCCATGTAAAATATTGAAAATTTGGTGTCC